CGGGGGCGCACCGTTTGTACGATGTGGAACGCGGGACCTCGTACTGTAGGGCACTGCGGTGCTTGTGAGTGACTTCTCCGTGCAGATAGGACTGAAGAAAGGCAGCGATGGCGGTCTTGGAAAAAGCGAGTCTGGACCCGTGACTTGGTCTCGGCCTCTCAGCAACTGCACGATGGGTGGTCGTTCTTGGGTGGGACCATTTTAACCGCTGGAGCCAGGATAATCAGGGCAGTGAGGGCAGCGAGGGCATGCCGTAGCGGGGATAGCGCTGGACGGACGTGGTGGATGACGGCAAGCGTCACCCCATCTTTGCGGACGGGAGGGCAGGGTCTCTGCAAGGCAAGGCGGGCTGGGCTTACATAGTACCTACCCAAGGGCGAGGTACCTTGCGTCTGATGCAATCAGCGTGGCCTACAACGTACCGCTGCGTAGCGATCCGACGAACCTTGGGCCTTTTAGGATGGATTGGCGGCTGACGGCCAGGGAAAAAAAACATGGGACAAACACATGTCATTGTGCCTTGCCGACCCAGGTGCCCTTGCCATCCACAAGTATCCGTACCCTATTCGTACCTACCTATCTTACCTTACAAAAAGCTTTCGCAGCAGGCTCGGTGCGTCCGAGTTCCCGGGCCGTCCATAGAGAAGTCTTCTCGCCGGTGCAGTTGCGCTTCCTTCCAAGTTTCCCGTCTCCCCGCGGCAGGAATACATCATTCCCGTCCGTCGCTCTACGTGAGATATTCGACGACGGGTCGACAGCATGAAGACAGGATGGTGCTCGGGCCAAACCAGATCCCCTGAAGATTGGAACCTTTTACTTACGCAGTACTGCGTAGTATCTTACTAAGTAAGGACCCCGTTAAGGCGAGATCCGGAGTGGTGCCGTTACCTCATGATCCAATAGATGCAGCTGCAAGAAGGTCATTCGTCACCTTCAAGTCTGCAAAAACTGCCCCTTCCCTAGTCCCTGAGGGGCAGTAGTGCGTACCGCTTCCTGCAAGTGAATGGGGTGCAGTCCCATTGCCGTAACAGGCGGGGAGAGAGGAACAGACGGGAGGGAAAAAAAGAAGCAAGACCGGAGACATGCCAAAGACAAGGGATGAGGGAAGCCACTGCCCAAAACCTGCAGGTTCCCGCCCGATGATATGGTTCCTGCCTTCCGGGTCTCTTCATTTTCCCAACTTCCGTGCCTCCTACCTACCGTGCTACCTTGTCGTCTAATCATCTCGTCATCGTCTGAGGTCCTCATCAACTACACCCTCTCTGCACCCTCTGCTTACAGCCACCTTCGGAACCCGCACCTCCTGCTTCTGCTTCGCCTTGCGCCTCAACTCTCCTCCACAAACCAAATCCATCTCCCCGCTCCAGACCAATCCAAGTTCGAGTCGTGCAACCAAGCCACCGCCTTACTGTACACCAAGACGAGAGACCCTTGGAACGGGCAACTTGCAATACACTACTAGACACCAAAACCAAGACACACCCATCAACCTCGACCAACCATACACGAGGCCTAGCAGCCCGGACGGTTAAGACTTCCCATATAGTTCATCACCGTCCCGTCTATCCACGTCCTTGCTACCACCCCGCCCTTCCGGCTCCACTGCTTTATTCCTTTGCAAACACAAAGCTGCCAGCATCACCCTCGAACGTCGGACACAGCTTAAACATCCGCTCTGACTTTTCTCGCACAACGCTCTCCGACTTATAACCCGCCCCGGCACGATTACCCGTCTTTGAACCACCATCTCATCGCCTTATAACGAGCATTGCCCATTCGAAAAGCACTTTCCGACGTTCCCGCCACCCCTCCATCCACCATGCCTACTATCCGCAACCCATTCGCCCGTCGCCCGGGTCCAGCAACCTTTACTCCAGACGACACCGCTCGCACAGATGGCGAGAACCCGTCGCATCCCGGCTTCGAGAAGCAGGACACCGTGGGCTCCAAGGCCTCGTCTTCGTTGAGCGTGAGAACATCCAAGAGCCAGGACAACGGCGAATACAAGATGAGCGTTGTCAACGATAGCGGTGTCTACCTCCCTGTTTGTTTGCACTTAATCTTCAGGCGCGCTTGAGACATCGCTAATGCACCCATGCAGCCATCTCCAACTGAGGAAAAGGGACTGTGGCCGCGCAAGTACCTCGGCTCGGGTCGCAACTCTACAGACACTCGCACCGACAGCGGCGAGATTGAGCACTTCTCCATCTCGAGAGAGTCTTTCGATTCCTACAGACGGTCTTTCGTGCGTTGCATCTATGCGAGGTTATCGTGACACTACCGCTGACCGCAACTTACCTGCAGGACATCTCAGCACGCTCCCCAATCCCCCAGACCGATCTCCCCCAACGCCAGAGCCTAGACTCCGCACGATTCCCGCGCCTGCCTCGATCCGCGATTGACAGAAGGTCCGACAGGGACCTTCCCACTGCCGACGAGGGCTTTGAGGATGTCGGCCTGGACGACCACAAGCAACAGCCCAGCCGTAAGCGCGGCCTGTTCTCGCGCTTCGGTGACTCTGACCACAAGGAGCAGAGCGCTAATTCCCCAAACGCAAGTGTGACCCGCTTCCTGACCGGACGAAAGCGCGGACAGAGCGGAGGTCAGGAACTTGGCACAATCGACATTGAGCGACCAAAGTCAGCGGCCTCTGTCAGAACCACCGAAGTACGCTAATCCTGTGCGGCATTGTTTATTCGATTTGTACATACGATATCCTGCGCGAGATTTTGAACGGCGCAGGATCTTGGCGTTACTGGCTGGGTTGGGCCCTGGAAATGGGACGCATTCGCTATGACATGATTAGAGTTGGGCCAGCCTACGATCCGGTCGGGCTGGGCCGCATTATGCATATACGAGCGGCAAGAATCAGGCCCGGCAAAATGAGCTCGCCGTCTTCGAGGCTGGTTGTCTCGTGAATGAGCTCTTAATGATAATGATAACAGATACAACTTCACAGACTTGCGCGGACTTGCAACATGTGCGTGAATGAGAATGAGGATGAGATCGAGTGACGATAGGTGTGTGGCCGGGATAACCCCCTACCAATCACAGCATCAGAAGCTTTACGCCAGGGAAGCTCAAGGGCGCAGATTGACAAACGATCCGAATACCGGAGGCCCAGCGGAGTCGAACCGGCCGACGTTTCCCAATCGCTGCTTCGTTGTTTGACGTGATATCGCAAAGATTGCATCCCGCCATGCACTTGTCGCACCAGGACCCATTTTCTCGGGATTTGTTCACCTTCGTGAGACCCCACCTTCTGATACGTAATGGAGGGGCAGAGGAAATGCGCGAGAGGGAGGGAGAGAGAACCCCTCTGTCGCCGGTGACTGTTGTCATTGCATCCTTGTCAAACTTTCAGCTGTTCTTCTATGGGGAATAAAAGTACTGCGGCTCCCAACACCTGTTCATCGTCGTAGATCATTGCCACTCCATGATCGAGTTAAACCTCACGCCCGGTCAACCGCCCATTCACCCCGCGACAATTTCCTCCAAGCCAGTGACAAAACTTGCCCCGCCATCCCATCCCATCCCGGACCAACATTACAATGGCTGGTGACATTCCCGCCAACGGCACAGGCTCCGGCCCGGAGGACGGCATCTGCAACCTGTCACTCGCTACCCGCACCGTCCACGCCGATGATGGCATCAGCTCCCATCGCGCTGTTGCCCCGGCCATTCACGTATCGACGACCTTCAAGTACAGCGCCAACCCCGATGACCTCCGTCCAGGGGACAATACCGACGTGAGAGCCCTTCACTTTCTCATTTGAGTCTGTCCAGACTAACAAGTAGCCAGCCCAATGCCCCCGCCGACTCTCACGTCTACTCCCGCTACTCCACCCCGAACACAACCCGCTTCGAGGCCGTTCTCTCCTCCGTCCTTGGCGGGCCCTCTCTGACCTACTCCTCCGGCCTGTCCGCCTTCCACGCCATGCTCGTCTACCTCAACCCGAAGCGCGTAGCCATTGGCGGTGGTTACCACGGCTGCCACGGTGTCATTCGCATCCTCACCAAGCTCAACGGTCTGAAGCAGCTCGAGCTCGACGAGGCGTCCCTTGACCAGCTCGAAGCCGGCGATGTGTTGCATGTCGAGACCCCATTGAACCCCACCGGCGAGGCGCGTAACTTGGCGTACTATGCCGAAAGGGCGCACAAGGTTGGGGCTTATCTGACTGTCGATGCGACGTTTGCGCCGCCGCCACTGCAGAACCCCTTTGACTTTGGTGCGGATATCGTGATGCACTCTGGAACCAAGTATTTTGGTGGGCACTCGGATATGTTGTGCGGCGTGCTGGCTGTTAACCCGTCTCGCGCGGACAAGTGGCTTCGCGGCATGATTGAGGAACGTTGCTACATCGGAAGCGTCATGGGAGGCTTGGAGGGCTGGCTCGGTGTCCGGTCAATTCGGACGCTTGAGCTGCGTGTGGAGAGGCAGAGCAAGTCTGCCACCAGCCTCGTTCGCTGGATTGACGACGAGATCAGGAACAACCCCACCGGTGTCGTCGGCAGTGTCGTTGACAAGGTTGTCCATGCTAGTTTGCAGAAGGACGAATGGTTGAAGAAGCAGATGCCTGGCGGTTTTGGCCCCGTTTTTGCCATCTGGTTAAAGGATGCCGAGGACGCGAAGAGGCTTCCGAGCAAGATGGAGCTTTTCCACCACGCTACTTCGCTAGGAGGTGTTGAGAGCTTGATTGAGTGGCGGGCAATGAGCGATCCTGGCTGTGACAAGCAACTTCTCCGTGTTAGCATCGGCGTTGAGGCGTGGGAGGACTTGAGGGACGATTTGGTTCAGGGCTTTAAGAAGTTGGCCGAGGAGAAGAAGGTTTAGAGTAGATGGCCAGACGCAGAACAGAATAGAGCTTTATACGAGGGAAAGGGGCGCAGCAATCGTACCCTTACTCCAATAGTATTCCTACACCTTGTACTGAACGCTCCTGCCGCGTCGTTGTCTTCGCTATCGTCCCCGGCATCGTCCGTCGTTGTCTCCGCACGCCTTACAGCGGAATGTCCAACGATCCGTCCGCGTTCATGCATCCCGCCAGCTTGTACCTCGTGGACTCAAAGCTATAAGTATGTCAGCCATGTCTTGAAGAAAAGTAAAGTAGACGGGGGACTAACGTAAACTGAATGCTTCCGGTGACCATGCACCGGCAAGCATCGCAGTACCTGAGCACCGCCTGCCGTCCCTCCCCCGCCGCCTCAGCAAGAGTGTTCGCAGCGCCTTCGAAGGTGGCAACAGAGATGGCGAGATCGGCTAGGAGGGCGTCAACCGCTTGCTGCGGCGACTTTCCCTCCTCCATCATGAGAATGGGGACGGCATTAACGATGCTCTCGTCAGCTCTGTCGTCCTTAGGCTATTGAGTTTGTTAGCAAGGTATTATTCGCATAGGCAGTGATCGCTTCGGTAAGTAGGTGGTGAGATGCGGGAAAGGGTATAGGGTTCGAGGGTATATAGGCACGTAGGGAAGGCGCACACACAAGCCAGAAGGATAGGCAATATCGAACAAGGTCTTCGAACTTGATGCCTTAGTTCGTTTGATCGTATGATCCGATGCTTCTGGCAGTTGTAGGAAGATGAATAGGAGGACGGGTAGTGCATGGCGTGAGAGGCTTCGAGGCGGCAAGTGGCCGTTGGTTGGGTAGAAGGGTAGATACTTCGATGGACGGGAAGAAAGGGGACGGCGGAAGCCGATGAAAAGGAAGCCCAGGAAGATGTGATCAGGAAAACTCCCAACTAATGGAAGGGCTTTCAAATAGTGGAGCGGGGGGCAAAGGGTAGCCTACGAATTGGCAGGAGCGAAACTTACAATCTCCTTCTTGAGGGAGAGGATGTCGTTGGTTCTGTACTGATGTCAACGCTTTGCTCCACTGCCCTTCTTCTCTGCATGGGTATTAGGACCTACTTACATCCAAATACCTCTGCTTGTCTCTGCCCAGAGGGTCTGCATTTCATTCATGCAGCGAATATGCTCTGGGAAGCTCTCTCCCAGGCCGTACTCAATGAGGGCGCAGAGGGTCCAGACTGCCGCCGTTCCATGGCGCAACTCTTCGTAGGCCTCCATGCTGGGGAGAGTACCGCGCAGACGAAGACTTTGCTCTTTATCACAGTTCTCAATGTAGCGGCGCATCTGGTGCATGAAAGTCTGCCTTTGTTCTGTGTCTTGTTCAGCACAGAGTGTCCCATAAAGAGGATGAATTCTCCCACCAAAATTGTATGCCTTGCACAGCTCTGCTCCAATTGTAATCAACTCAGCATTCACATGATCGCACATGATATTGTGAGTATTAGTGCTAAGGGAGCTGAGACCTAAGGCTTCGTTGAGTACACGGATGGTGTCGTTGCGATGGGTCTTTGCTCTCGCCAGATTGGCACTCAGGTCGCTACCCTGCTGATCAATGGCATCGTCCCAACAGAAGAGCCAGACTATGTATAGCGCAAGAGTATGAATTTGGTTCTGGTCTGGGTGTGGGTAATATCTTTTGAAGGTCGCCTCAGTCAGCAGTCGCTAAGTCTGTGAACAGGGTGGTGATACTCACAGGCTCACAAATCTGGCGTAATTGGCCTTTCGGTATTTCTCTCGAAGTCCCGGGTTCCGGACCAATCTATTTAAATAATGTGTTAGTTATTTACTTTTCGTTCTCTTCGCAAACAGGCAACCAACCTATCGAATGCGCTCTCGACAACAGGTATGATTTCCTTGTAGTTGGTGTTTGCGTCCACCGGCCAATCCTTGAAAATTTCCCGCAGGTCAGGGACGTGAAGAATCTCTCCGCGAAGTGCTCCCAGGATTTCCTGGGCTTCGGAAATCAGTGACCCCATTCCACCCTTGCTGGAAAGGTAAGATCTTTGCAAGTCCAAAAAAAAAAAAAAAAAAAAAAAAGATGGAAAAGGGGTGAAGCCCAAGTGCAGTGACCAGACTAGAATCCGCTCCTTTTTGGATGTTTGCTTCCCACTGTTGAATGGGATAATTACCGAGACACCCTTGTGAGAAAGCCCAAACAAATCTCAAGCCCTTTTTTCTTCGGCTGTCGAAATGGGAACTGGGCTGATGTTTGCTTGTCAAGAAGCCTGGTGCATTGGGGGGGGGGGGGGAGGGCTATTTGACCTCGCCTTGGTCTCAAGGTGGTGGGCTAGGTGAAGTGTCTGGGGAAGATCATTACTTAGGTATCAGGAAGGTGAAAGACTTGGACGGAACGCGAAAAGTAACAATTCACCATAGTCATTGTCTTCTCCTGCAGGACTGCGATGGGCCTTTATACCCAACTCTAGTCCTGTTGCCGTCACCCAAGCCCGGTGAAGGACCAAGTGGTCTAGAGGTATAACGCTCTGTATCGTTAGTTTGAACTTGGGATGAAATCTGAATATCAGGTTTCGTAGGGTCGCGGTTCAATTCCGCTCCCGAGCTTTTTGCTCGTCGACTTTTTCAGCTTCTAGCCACTTCCCTGCCAGGAGGAGCAAGGAGGAATCATTTTGCGGTCAGCTGAGAGCTCGTTCTCTCCAGAAACCCAAATACAAGGAGTTGACTGTCAGGAGGGATTCCGTACGCGAGATGGAAAGGGGCTATGTCTCCTTGACTGATGTTGATACGCGCCACCTACCTTTGGTGTCCGTCCTTCCCGATGTCCTGGGTTCTGGTTTTCGTACCCCCTGTCTACTTCGGGCGTACTGAGAAGGAAGCGAGACAATGACATATACAGCACTTGTATACGGTATGGAAACTACATGAATGCTGTGATAGACCTGTCAACTCGTGTTGGCAGAGGTTCACTTGCATCTCCGGATTTCATCCTTAGAGGGGGGGAGTCGGTCGACCTTGGACTGTTGCAGGCGACATTCATCCATCGCTTGAAGCTGGCTTCGACTAACAAAGGACTGGCTCGCGGCATGTCCGACACGGTAGGAGCATGTGACTCGACATTCTGCAGAATCTGCGGAGGCAGATACCCGAGGAATCGCCACGACCTCTAGGTTCTAGAGGCCAGCAGTGCGTCCGTCGGAGCGAACTTATAACATGACAGCCGCCGGCACTTTGTCTTCCAAGGATTTGCGGCTACTTACATCGTCTCACTGACATGGGTCTGCAAAAGCCAAGGTCCGAGACCATCATTGCATCCGCAAACCGGGTTTGCTCCCGGGATACTCATGTCTTGCATCTTACAAATTTACTAGTCCTTTCGCAGCATACCATCGTACAAGATCTACCTTGCCCCCGTCGTGACCATGTAAACTATCGTTGACCTGCATGAGGCACCATGAACCACCCATTTCGACCTTGCTCGGGGTTTCACCAAGCGACGTTGTATTCGGGCGCGCAATTCTATGGTTGGCATCTCTGAAACAACGATATCTGAACCATGCCTCATCAATCCTTGGGAGGCGGTATGTAACCATCGATCATGCCGCTGCCCGCGACCTAACGCGGACTTAATGGACCTTGTACCGCTCGTCCGCGTGTTGCTACACGCAACGTGGCTTTGCATTGTATTGTCAAGAATGACGGTGAAGGCACTCACATGGGCCGCGCATCGGCGGCTCGGCGTGCTGCCGTCGAGACCAGCTCAGACATCAGACTCATCGGCCCTTTGAAGCCAGCGCCTAGACCGACGGAGACCCGGAGACGCACTAACTCCGTCAATGCTTGGGCGCCTGTGAGCTTGCGGGCTGACGATGGACCCCGCGCATCTATGTCGTGATATTTGTATCTTCGCTGATGGTCTCATCTGTCGGTGTCAACCTCCTTCAACAACTCTGTCAAATTCATGATACGGTAGCCTCGTCGCTTCAACTCCGGCAGCACCTTCCGCAGCATCGGAATAGTCCAACTTCTCCTGTCGTGGCAGATTATGATGGCGCCTGGCCGTGCCATGCTTAAGATGTGTTTGGCGTTGAGCTTCCAATTGCTGATCTGAGCGTCATGGGGGTAAACGCTGCCCAGAACCATCCTGTAACCCAGCTTGTCGATCAGCCTCCGCATCCTGTCACTGAAGAAGCCAGAGCCTGGCCTGAAGTAGTTGGCCGGCATGGGTACATCCTCGTAGTCGTAAAGGTTCTTGATCTTCCGCCGTACTTCAAGTATCTCCGCCTCGAGCTGGCCAACCGGTAGCGACCGCGAGGCCTCGTCGTGCATGGCGTGGTTCCCTAGCTCGCTGCCAGCCTTGATTATGTCTCCCATATCATCCTCGTGGCCGTTCATCTGCGAGCCGATGAGGAAGAAGGTCGCGTGTGCATCGTTCTCCTTCAGGATCTTGAGGATCTCGGGTGTGTGCTGTGAGGGCGCGTCATCAATGGTGAGGCCGATGATCTTATCCTTGGTCTGGACCTGCCACAGCACGTCGGGCCATTTCCGTGCGAAATGGTTGATGACGAAAGCCGGGGGCTTGTAGACGATGTAGGCGGGGAGGACGAGAAGGAGGGCGAGGGCGAGGAGGAAGAGAAGGGTGGCCATTCGGTTGCGGCGCGCACGCCTCCGGAACTTGTTGGGAAATCTCAAGAGCGATATTCGTGCCATTGGCCTATCCGTTCACCTTCCAAGATGTTGTTGGAAGAGAGACGAGGTTGGCATTGTCGGGGACAGGTCGATATATCGAGGGGTGAAACGAAACGAAACGAAGCAGAGGCCGGCCGCACAGCTCTCTTAATCTCGACTTGGACAAGGTGCAGGGGGTCGCGTTCCAGAGCTGCGCTGTGCGTGGTCATCTGTGGCTGACGTACGCAGTACTTACCTCCTCACGGCGGTACATGGCGCAGTGGGGGTGTCGTGGCTGGAGCCAACCATTGCACACGGCTTTGGCATGCTTAGACCCACCTCGGCCTCCACTAAGGTTCAACTCAATTAAGCACTTCCCAACTTCCGACCGTTTATTCCAACCTCGAAGCTGAAATTCAACCAAAGTCCTTTTTCTGCTCTGCCGCGCCACGTCTTTGCCTGCACGAAATCAAGTTCGGTCAGTCACTAGCTGACCTTAACGGCTAGCTTCAGTCCTGTGCCTCACCTTTTTTTGGCCGCCACACCCCTCACTGCCTCCCCTCCCGCTCTAGGCTGCGACTGATACCACCAGCACGAGCAACTTCAACCCAGGATGTGAGAACCAGGAACGGAACAGGAAGCAGCATACAGAAACAGTTTAGGCCGTACCAGAATTGCTGAGGCCTGTCGATGGGGCCGCTCTGAACACTCTCCTCCAGAACACGCGGCAAATGACAGCCACTGTCTTCCATGCACGCACAGCCTGCGGCAAAGCCGATCGGCACTAATCAGCCTTGAGAGCATCGATGTGGAAGAATCCTGCCAAGTGGCAAGCATAAGCATCTTATTGGTAGCCTTGAGCTTCCCTAGGCCTCCAATTTTCTCGAAAATGGGTCGAAGCCGACTCATCGGAAAATATACGATCGAGGTTATCGTGGACTGTCCGGTAGACCGGCAAACGTGGTTGCCTAGACATGCTCGCTACATCGCAAGACATCCAATGAGGGACACGGTACATTTCAGGGCACATGTATGCTCTGCTAGGTACCCATCGTCACCGGTTTCTGATGGAATGTGATCCCAGTCTTGCTCAATGAAAACAAAAAAGCTGGCACGCTGATCGGCCACACGGTACACCCGTCAACCCACAAAGTCTCCATTGTGAGCTATTCTCGGTGCGCTAATCGCGCTTACCTTTCCCTTCTTATTCGACCTACGTAACTCAACTGTCCGCGCCACAGACAGCGACAGACCTGCATAGACTGCTTTGGCCCTCAGAGTACGGCTTGCCCGGTATGCGTAACACATGCCTGTTTCCTCGCAGTCTTCGTTTGGTGATCGCCAATTTTCTCATCGAGAGAGTCAAAGCCAGACGAAAGGTCTAACGGAATAGCCGGGAGGGCTGGCGATCGTGGTGAGGGCCATCCTCATGGATCCTTCCCACACTCTCAACCATGTATCCGGAGACAGGTTAAGGTTGTGGCAACCGAGCCACCCGCGCAGTTCAGCCTCGCTCAGGCCTTACTCTAACTCATCTGAGATGAAGCAGCTCTTGTGGGTCTTGATCAGGCTTTCAATCACCATTGCGCATAATATCTAGTTGAAATGACCGCCCATGATGTACTTCCTGAGCTGATTTAAAGATTCAGCCGTGGCCCTTGTTGTGGAACTCTTAAATGAGTCTTCTATTGTCAATGGATCCATTCTTCAAAGTCAAATCTCGCGTTTTTATCAATGTGACGATTATCAATAGGCGCAATCAGAATTTCTCTATGGGCAGCTGTGCGGCTGCTGCATTAAGCAATCGGCAGAAAAGAAACAGAGACAATACCAACAATATCCCACCCTCCGAACTTGTAGCAAAGAGGCCAAAGTTACTTGGCATCACGATCAATACCAGCGATGACGAATTGGACCTACTTTCCTGTGACAAGAAGTCACCCGGGGACCGTATTTTGGACGACGAGGATATTGCGTGTTGGCTGGAGCAGCAGAGTCGCAAATCAGCTACAGCAGGCGTCCTGAAAGCTGTTAACGAACTGGCCAAAGGACTTGAAGCTACGCCTGGGTCGAAATCTACGTTGCCCATGCGAACCGAAACTCATATGGCTACCAGCGAGACCTTATCGGGTAAAACAACATTACAGCCTGATTCGGCGCAAGCCTCCGACCTGCCATGTATTCTCCGAGGAGTTGGGGCCTTTGCAGACGATGCCTCTGTTATACCCGCGGATTCAACTACAACGGGCAGGAAGAAGCGGAGGCCATGGTGGGTTTGAATTCGCTTGCTGCCTTGTACTCAACTAACAAACATCAGGATGAGGAAGAACCGCAGACCAATCGTAGGCTGGGACCAGTTATGGCTGTGACGACTGCGCAGGCGTACTCGCATCGGCGGTCAGTCAAATGAATGATCTATGACAAAAGGCGCAAGTAAAGACGATTGTGAAGATACCCTTGGGTTCTGATCTCAAGTACATTCGACACGGAAAAAATGGTGCATTGGGCGTTCGTATTCAGCATCCGAGTTTATTAGATTTTCTCTCACATTAGACGTTTTCCCTACTTTTGCTGTGTATTGATCGCCCCTACTAGGTAGCACGTCGGTCCAATTGAGCCGGCCCCGAGGTTTCCGAGTCCTAGTGGCCGGCGCGCCGTTGTGTGCCCCGAAACGCCGGGTCTGAACTCTGATCGCCCCCGGGACGCCGGGTCTCCCGTGCGTGGAACTGCCATCCAGAATAACTGGGTGGTTGCCGACAGAGTTTGCCACGGAAGGGAGACCCCCGTGGCATGAGCTTCACTTGGCTGACATCCCAAGTACGCACACACAAGTTGTGGAAGATGCGACGAACAGGGCCTGGATGTCAAAACTCTGTTAGGTGTATCATCGAGCTGTCTCCCTTGTGGCGGATCCCACCACTGCCTCGTGCCAATGTGATCACTGAGAACTAGGTGGTGTCAGCTCCACTTCGGAGCGTCCTGGCTCTCCGACGGCCTCGATGTCAACGAAGACTTCACCAGCCAAATGTCACCGGTACCACCTTTGGTCTAGACCACGAAGTCACGAGAGCTACGACGGAAGACGTCCGGGAACGTCCCACGGGATGCCAACCTCTGCAGCATGATCATTCCCCCTTTATCCATCTGTCAAGCTCAAAAAAAGACGACATCCCGACCTCTGATCAAACACCCGCTTCGGGGATCGACAGTTCTCCCTCTCGCTTGTCGCCTGCATCGTCATGCGGACTGTGGAGAGGGGTGGTGGAGGGGTTACCCTGGCCGAAGATCAAACAAACACTGTGGACACCACCACCGCTTGTTTGCTTGGGATGTCGGCCCTCCCTTGCGTCTCCCCCATTCAGCCAGCCAGCCCTCTCTTTCATGAACAACGATGGGGGCAGGGGTTCTATTTCATGTCTGTGCTGGCGGAGAAGAGAGGAAAAAAGGCGAGATCCGATTGAACGTCACCTCTGAATCAACCACGATATCCACTTTCTCATGTTAATGAACCAAATGACGTCCCCTATTCAACGAAGTTACTCAAGACTCTTCACTCTTTGCTTTTTTGTGCAGTCGTCATGGCTACCTAATATGCCATCTTTCCAACCGGTCCGTATTCCGACACAACCTCCAGCAGCTTGTCTTGCAAATGTGAGCCCTGACCAGAGTCGTTTGATACCCAGCCTCTCTCTGCGATGTGTTTGCGTCTTGGCGGTGAGATTCATGGAATGAATGTCCGAGAAGCCAATGAATGGCTGGTGCTCCTTGGTCGTAGTCTTTGCCTTGAACCCAAACGTCTGTCACATGGCACTGATTCGATGTTGCAATCGACAATCGCGGGACCAAGGGCCCCGGCAGATGCATTCAGCCAGAAAAAACCCCAAAAGCTCCGGTGATCAGCCCTTTGCCGTCCACGCAAACGGGACTTATGCCTCCGCGCGCCACCCGGACCCCTCTTCTTCTTCTCTTTCGACGGCTCCAATCGTTGCAAACCACCAAAAGGCGGCCTTTACAAGTTTGATGACATGTTGCGCGTCATGCTGTCGATGGCGTCTGCATTGAATCGGATCATTCAATAAGCACAAAATAGGCGAAAAAAGTGAAATGCATGAGAGAAAGAGAGACAATCAATCCCCAACTTGCCGATCCTGCCGCCTTTGAGACGGAACCCGGCACCACTTGACACAAGTCATCTTCAACCTCCCCCGCCGCCGACAATTACCACCAATTACACTACGGGTACATTGGCTGTCGTTCGCATCGGCCCCGGCAACCACTTTCACTTTATTCTTTCGCCTCCAACTGCCGTAGCATCGTCATCCCCCACGCATGGAATATTATGCGTCGCAGTCTAGAACAAGGGAGCAAAAAACACTGGCGGAAGGAAGCCGAGGCGAACGTGCGTGGTCGTAGTAGCTAGCAGGGCAAGTATAAAAAAAAAAAAAAAAAAAAAAAAAAAAAAAAAAAAAAAGGGAAGGAGAGCAAGAGTGCTAAAGTTGGCCCGTCACCGGATGGCGCTTCGGCACTAACGCAGAGCCTCGGCGGCGCTGTCTCCGATAGCTTGGCCCAGGTCGTGAAGCTACCGCTCAATAAGCTTAGCAGGCCGAGCAAGGTCCCTCGTCGGTGTCCGTCCTCACAGTAACGTTTTTGCGCCTCCTCGTTCTCCCCTGGGCCGACTGGCTGTGCGTTAACACACACCGTTCTCGCCAGTCTGTGTTGGGCTCTGCATATTGTGATACTAGAGATGGCTTCATGTCTGCCCTGCTTTGGCGTCAGTGCTTGTTTATCGGATGAACCGTGTTCAATCAAAAGATAGGATGGCTGCTGCAACGCACGGATGAGCTGTGAGCTTGACACACAACAGAGACAAACTCTGTAAATCAAAACACAACATCACCGCGATGGCTGAAGAATCACAACATGTGCGTTGGGGAGACAAATGAGATTTTGCTAGTTATCAATAAGCAATAATGTTTGAGCCGCCGTTCAAGGCGCTCGGGGGAATATCCGCACGTCATTCAAAGGTATATACACAGAAACGCCAATTAGCCCAATATGTAGTGGGCGTTAGGTTACCAAACAGAGCATTTCCCTCCATCCCGATATTCGTCCGCTCCAAGTGAAGGTTTCCTCTCTCTGCCACAAAAGAAAAAGTCCATTTTTGTCTTTCATCATCGCCCTTAGGGTGTCCCGTAGTCTGTAAGAAAATAACCGAGGTCGTGGTCCGGTTTGCTTATTTCAATTATGTACAATGAACAAAGCAGGTCAAATCGCTTCGATTTGCGAGTGAATCAGATCCACGCGGCAGCCATTGCTCGTTGGGGCGCGTGGCTGTGGCTGGCGGGCTTGTCGTGGAAAAAGCTGTTGAACAGGCTCTGGACTTCGGAAAGGTAGTCCTCGGCGGCGAACTTGCAGAGACCTTGAGCCTTGAGGACGCGTTCCTCCTCATCCATAACGCGGTCCTTGATGCCAAACTCCTCCGCAATCTCCGTGACCTGGGCCAGCTCACGGCCAAAGGGATGCGACTCGACCGACTTTTCTTGTCTGGGCTGCTGCTGCTGCTGCTTCTGCTGCTGCTGGTGGTGGAATGCGGGGCTCGGCATGGGCGGTACGGGAGTCTTGGGAGTCTTGGGAGCGGCGACGACCGAGTTGTGAGACATGGTAGATGCTGCGCTTGAGCCTGATGACGCGCGAGAGGAGAACGTCATGCTGGCCTTTGTCGAGACAGTCTTGTCAGAGGCCTTGGACAGGCTGGACATGGAGCGCTGGCGTGCCATGGCATCGAAAGAGGCCTGTTTCGTGTGCGAAGGCGCACGCCTGGGGATCTTGGGGACCTCAGGAATCGTGGCGGGGTTGACGGCATGGTTTGGGGCGACAAAGTAGCAGGACAAGTGGTTCGGCTCGGGAGACGAGGAGCGTTCGTGAGGCGCAACGTCGGGGCTGGTCGGGGGCGACGAGGCAGCAGTGTGAGCACCCTCAGAGTCCTCCTCTGACGACTTGGTTGACGAATTGCTTGACGAAGTGGTTCGGGGACGGATATCAGGAGCATTGTAGGAAAGCATGTTGGTAGTGTGGACAAGCTCCATGGGAGCAGAGATCTTTGCTCTGGAAGGCGCCTTGGTGGTCTTGCTTCGCGAGATGAAGTTATTGCTGCGCTCCTTCCCGCGAGCGGCATCAGAGAGATCGATGCTCTGCTTCACCCGGCGGGTGGTGAAAGCTCTTGAGAGTGACGACATTTTGGTCTTGTGTGTAAGATCTCACCCGGCGACGTGTTGAAAGAGTAGAAGAGTGGGCGGAGTTGGGGGATAAGTAGGTAAGCTTGAGTTGAATTGTCGCGGGACGCAAGCGCCTGATCCGGTAACAAGGGCTTTGGGGTGCAGTGATGGACTGCGAAAGACGGCAGGTGGGTGGTGACGAAGTGGTGGTGACAGGACTTGTGATTGGACCTGAGACCTTTATTGGCAGGTGCGGTGGATCTACTGCTGCACGACAGTTGCAGTCAGGCGGGTAGCAGAAGAAGGGTGCCGAAGAGAGACGAAGGGCAGGCTGTCAATCGGTGAGAGGGTCTGCCGACTTAAAGAGTGAATGTGAGGGTGTGAGGTTGAGTCTGGTGTGTCGGTGATGCGAGACAGATGATTAGATGACGGCCGGGCCGTGACGGATTATCCTGCGCAGGTTGCGTTGTGTTGTGTTGTGTTGATATCTGTGCGAGAGACAACAGCACGGGTGAGGAGTCCAGTCCTGGAGGTACTTTTTAGGAAGTACGAGAGTTCGGCGTCGATCCGGTTGAGAGTCGTTTAGGGTTGGGTGTCTGAGTGCAGAAGAGAACGTGTGTCTTGTGACTCGGTCTGTGAGTCGGTGTAATGACTGTGAGTGGTACAGGTACTGATCGACCTGTGTGATGAAATGATGAGGTCTCTATCTCTCTCTCCTTCTCTCGTTTGGGTGCAATGTAAGGACGGTCGGTTTAGTTGTATATCCAGCCGAAAAGGAACGTTCAACGTGTCGAGCAACAAGCGGTGGGTGATGGAGATATTTCCTGGTGATTTTCGGCGTTTGTTTGGGAAAAATGTTCGAGCCCGCGACAAGTTGTTTTAATATCTCGAGTATCTGTGCTCCGGGGGTCGGAGGTGCAGACGATAAAACGCACAAGAATAGAAAGACACACCGCAAAGGGAGCGATGGGGTGTGGGTGTGTGTGTATGTGTTAGAAGAGAACGACGAAAGGGAGAGATGGTGAATCTTCTTCCTCGAACCAGAACCAGAACCAAGAGGGTGGGAGAGGTTGAAGAAGGGAAGAGAGACGAGCGGAGCGGGCGTGTAGAGGGAACACCCAGAGTAATAATCGAATATTGCGGGTGCACCACGA